GTGATTTCAGGTCCCTTGTCAAAGTGTTGATCTTTGATCTTCAGAATATATCAAGAATCTGAAAATCAGCACTTGAAGTGATGAAAATATCAAGATTGGGAACCAGAAACAACTGTTGAACCATCATTTTCCTGCCTTATCAAGTTTATAATACATCCAACTCAATGTTATTAAAAGCTTCAAAGAGGCGAGGTGACAGGTCAAGGGGCTTTTGTTCCCTGAAGTGAGGCGAGATCAAAAAGTGCTTGCTTTAGCAGAAGAAGCAGAAGTGAGGCGAGTGTGAAGCATCACTTTTGCGACAGACTTAGGCATCTTCTTCCCTTCTCTTCTTCTCCTCCAATTTTAGGGTTTCGAGGTAAATCTTATCCTCTTCTTCTTCCTCTTCTCTTATCTTCCTCTTCAAATTTCTCCTCTCTTTACGATTTTTTCTCTTCTTTTCTCCGTTGCTTTGATACCTTTTCTCTTCTCTCTTCTCTCGTCTCCTCTTTTTTCAATCTATTTCTCTACTTCTTTTCTCCTCCATTTTCTATTATTCTCTCTTCTCCTCTTTTTTTGGAATTCTTGAAGATAGGATATTGCTCCCTTTATGATTTGGTTTTAAATTTGCTTAATATGTTATGAGAGTATCTATTACTTACTTTCTAATTTAAGAATTGAAAGATTTGCCTAATATGTTATTTCAATTGAGTTGATTCAATCTTTTATGTTATCTCATGTTGCCGAGGGTCTAGGGGAATAGCCTTAATACCTTCACAAGGTAAGGGTAAGGTTGCGTACACACCATCATTCGCATACCCCATTGGGGGATTACACTAGGTATGTTGTTGTTATTTCTATTGAGTTCTTGGTTATTTATTTATGCAAATTTAATATTTTTTATTTTATATTAAATTGCGCTTCAATTGAATAAAACATACGCTTCACTTCACGCTTCTGACTTTGGTGAAGCGAGCCCTGGTCGCTTTTCTCCGCTTCTCGTGTTCTTATTCACTGCTCCAACTAGAAGGTTATTGAAGAGATGTTTTTTCTCCATCAATACTTATTCTTCTACAGTTTTGGCATCAAAGAAACACGGGTTGCAATTTGGTTTAGTAAGTGGTACTTCTTACTAGGCACGGCTAGCAGAGAAGTTCCACAACATTACTCAAGCATTCCTTGGAGCACCCAAATTTAGCCACAAATGCTTTTTTTTAGAAAAGGTAAAGATTCAGCCCAAAAATGTTTTTTCCTTCCACAATCCATAATACATTTAGGCTTCAGGGCATGCTACACCTCTAATTCAATTTGAACTGCCACAAATATGACGCTCAAAGTAGCCTTATAAATTCCTTGGGAAGACCCATCATTATATCTTATCAGTCTTAATAATATCCATATTAAAAGCACTCTCTTGTCATATGTCATTATTCCATATTAGATTTATAGCATCCCTATTAGGAACATACACTTGGTTACCAAAGCAGGAGATGATATATCTTAGTTTCTCAATGCGAAAAAATTCAAGAGCTATGATTAGAGAGGACATCTGCACCAGACTGCAAGGGGAATTGATTCCACATCAAGCATGAGATCTTTTAGTAATGGACTCCCAACTATCAATTTCTTATATAATAAATGGATTCTCAACATAAATACAGGGTTTGGGAAAACGTTACCGGGTTCCCCAAAACCCCCACCTGATACAATGAATCTGCCTCTATATGCACCCGATTTTCTACGCAAGTTAGTAGTCATAAATCGCTTCTTTTAGAAAAGGCATAACGTGAACACAAAACTCCAACTTAAGCAGAAACCCAGGAAAGAAAGCAAGCAGTAAGAGAACCCAAATGGCAATAGTTACTGCTCTCTGTCTTGAATAAACTACTCTCTCCTGTCCATTTTACCTAAGTTGCTTGGACTCGGGTGCGGGTATCCCATGTGGATGCGAATCCAAGGATCGGATTCGGCAAAATCTAAATTTTAAGATTTGGGGGTACGGATCCATGTATGGATACGGGTGCTGGGATTCGGCTAAACAATCCAAAATTATAAAATAGAGATATAACGATGTTCTTGTTTTTGAAAGACCCCCAACTTCTTCTTTCACGCTCTCTGGTTCTTCCCCTAAAAAGGAAAAAGAAAGTCATTCAAGGCCTTCCACCAACTCTCCTTACAGATCGGTGCTACTCTCTACCAAAAGTCAGAACACAACCGCTTGAATCCTTAGTTTCTCTTCGTTTGGTTTGAAACAACAAATATTGACCAACAGGAAAAGCTAAAAAAGAGACAAAGGAACTATAATATTTAAGGTATGCCATTACTCATGTCTTAAATCTATTTTATCTTCTATCAAAATCTCAATTTTCCCCAAAATTTGTCCCCAGACTCCGGTCAAAGTATCCAATGTGGGTTGACTAAATCTCACACGTATCCCACACCCGCACCCGTCTCGTGTCGACACAGGTGCGGCAGCTAAAATGAAGAGTCCACGCAACTTAGCATTTTACCTGTCATGTTTACACGGCCTTTAAGAAAACATTAACTAAAGAGATAACTTGACTAAATTATCCTTATTTATTTTTTATATGGATTTAATACTAATCTTTTTTTCCATACATTTAAGTAAGCGTAAAGATGAAAACTAACTAATAAATTATATCTCAATTTGCTAACACGACTACTGTTTTGGACCAGTTAGTTTTAGTAAGCACGACAACTAAAATGGACTGGAGGCCAGACGGAATAAACTGTATTCATAGGGAAACCCCAGTTATTCTTATAAAAAAAAAGGTTATATTTTTTCCCCTTTCCTCTTCTACTAAATATGGAAGAGAAAGGGGTTAATCCAACCAAATCATTCCTCACTTTCCTTCCGTGTAAATCAACTCTAACTCGAACACTAGATACTCCCCCCTATTGTTACAAATCTAAGTTTCAAAAGCCAAAATAAACTTTTGGAAACAACAAATATATCGGTCTGGACACAGGTAACATAACAGCATACCCAGTTTAGTGTCTGAGGAGGGTAGAGTGTTCCCAGACCTTTCCCCTACCTCAAGAGGTAGAGAAGCTGTGTCTGGTACACCCACCACTCATCAGAACACAGGTAATCTAACAGATAAGCAAAAAAAAAAAACATCAAATCAATACCTTTACTAGCAATGAACTATATCCAGTAATCAATCAAAAAATAAAAACATAAACAGTTCCAAATTCAAAAAAGTTCCTAAATTTAATAAACAAAACAAACAAAAAAGCAAAAAAACTCAAAAATCTCCAACTGTACCTGAGAGCGATGATGTGCGATGACCGTATCGGAATCATCGGAGTCGTTATCGATGAAATCGTAATCCATGACGTCATCATCATCGGAATCATCATGGGCATCGCCGCCGCTGTAGAAGTCATCATCGAAGGACTCGCCGTCGTCGGTGGCATCCTGCATCATCAATTCATCCTCCGATGCCATTTCTCCCTTTTTACACCCCACCCCCCCTGCTTCTCTATCTATATATATTGTTTGTGTATGTATAGGTTGAGGAAATGAAAGAGAATTTTTTGTTGGGAGGAAATGGAATAAAGGGGAAAGTGGTAAATGGTGTAGTTTCTATAATAGCCTTTTGTATTGGTAGGAAAAGAAAAAAATAAGTAAATTCTTTTCCCTTATATTGAGGTTACATCAAAAATATATTTATATTTTTTTCCCAATTTGGCTTATGGTATGGGCAAAAAAACATTTAACAATGTTAATATATTGTTCTCAAATTCATTGAACATAACAAAATTGAGATAATGATATTCTATTATATTCATATATCTACTTCTTTTGTCATGTTAAAATTGGAGTAAAGTAGTATAATCGGACTGAAAATACATAATTTATAGACTTTTTTGTTATTATCGTTTGGTCCTTTGAAATCTTTATCTTAAAAAAAGGTTAAGCATGTATAGTTGGTGTATGTCTGAAAACTATTTCAGAATGATATCAAGAAGTGCATGATGGATTGAGAGTAAATCTTTTTTTGACAGTAAGAGAAGAGCCGTCGTCGTCATATGGATCAACTTCTTTAGGTGTGAGGTGTGATCAACCACGAAAAGTCAGTAATGAAGAATATGCTTTTCATATTCAATGCGATGTCTCATATAATGAAAATTCACTTCTTAAAAGTGAATATCATGTTTGTATAGCAATTGCGTGAGACTTTATCTATGTGAATCATTTTACACCCTCATAAATAAGCACCAACATATGGATGATCGTTGAGTCGGGTGATCGTGTCGATCATCTCTATGTGACTCATTTTGTTGTCACCGAATAAAATATTAAATTTTATTTTGTTTAACATATATTTATTGAACTGTACGTAGCCATTGAAGTATTTAACTTACCCTTTCTACTATCCTCATGTTTCATCATTTTGTTGACATTTACCATCTCACATATATTTTTTGGTTTATTTTCATCTATTTCTTTGATACTTTGAAGACATTTAAAAAAGAACTATATAGAGGGATCAAAATTGAGTTGAACAAGAAAAAAGATTTCCCATTTTCGAAAGAAAAAGGAAGGCGGGGTGTTGGTGGGGGAGGGGGTAAAAGGAGAAATGTGTAAATAATTATTTTTTGAATTGTTAATTAAGTTTTAGTCTGCGTTTCAAATATAATTAAAGTTTAGCCATTTTAAAATACAAAAAATTGAACGATCATATCTCTAAACTAAAATACTAATATCCTTGAATACCTTAAAAATAACAGTATATGACAAAAGTTAAATTTTTGACGTTGTGTCTAAATTTAAATTTTGTCAATACTATATTTAGACAACGTATATATATCTAAAATAAACCAAAATAAGCACATGTGCAAAACACTTTAGAAAGAGGACAAAAGTTAAACGACAACGTCAAAATTGGATATCCGCACACTTTATCCGAAGAGAGAAAAAATGTAGATGGGCCATAAAATATTCCTTTTGTGAATTTTCAAAGCCCAGCCCACAAAAAATAGAGACCGTCCAAGCCCATCATCCCTTTCATTTCTTCACACTTCATCGCTGAATCTTACAAATCTCCAAAGCAAACTGTGATTCGGAAGCTCTTCTTTATCTACAATTTCACCCATGCGTTCGACGAATTGCCTGAAATTCGGGATCGAACAAGTGTAGGAAGCATACATCATGGCCACGATCGGAGCAATGCCGGAGATTGGTGGCTTCCGACAGAAAAGCCGAAGGTATTTGCTCTTTTTCATCCTCATTTCAGCTGAAAATTTATACGTAATCGGTGTTATAGTTCTAATAACCGGTTGCGCCACAAGAAATTGAGGCGTATAGTTCCATTATTGATCTAGGGAGTTTAATTGAACTCATTGATTTTACCTGATCATGTACATGTAATAAATTATGCTCACTATGAACTACATCCGGTGTGTGTTATTAGCTAGTTAGAGTCTACTGTGTAGCTAGAGCCTGCGATAATGAGAAGAGTTGCTCATGTTTTGTTTTTCTATTGGCTGGAATAGGTCATTTGTAACACTTATTCTGACAGTTCTTACGAGTTCACAATCGATTCTCATTGTTTGGTCGAAGAGAGCTGGGAAGTATGAGTACAGTGTAACCACTGCAAATTTTCTGGTTAGTGAAATGACACAAATCACAAGAGTTTTTTTGCTGCTTTTGCAATGTTGTTTTGAGCTTATAGTTGTAAACAATGGTTCAATTGTCACTTTTTGTTGTGTAATTGAATTCAAACTTCTATGTAATAGGTAGAGGCATTGAAATGTGCATTGTCTCTTGTGGCCTTGCTAAGAATCTGGAGAAAGGACGGTGTTACTGATGATAACAGGTTTGTAACAATTTTTGTGTACGGAGCTGAATTACTATTTTCTGCCTTCTCTATCTGTATTATGAATCTACTTGAGCACTGCATGTATAAAATCCTGTGCTTGTCTAGGAACTTTTTAGCCCTATTAGAGAAAATATAGAGAATTTCTGGTACTTTTTAAAAAGTTTATTTTGTGTAGTGTTTGCTTGAAATGAATTTAAATGGAAAAAATGGTTAGTGAGCTATCATATGGCCAACCCCTACTTGTTTGGGACCGTGGCGCAATAGCTTTGTGACAATGGTGTATGGGCCAACTTGCACACTTCTCGACTATTCACAAGCATCAGGTAACTATGCAAACCATGACTTAAGGTTGACGGAAAGAAATACCTTACCATGACTTAAGGTTGACGGAAAGAAATATCTTGTATGTTTTGTCTCTGCTAAGATTTGAACCCTGGTTTCCAAGGTTTGTACTCACTTCACCAACCACTAGGCTACACCTTGGTTGTATGGTAAAAATATATATTTTTATATATTAGCCAATTCAGTTGGATACCCTACCTTGTAAGATCTTAGGGTATTTGCACAAGGCTTATGGTCAACTTCGCCAGAGAATTTAGATCCAAATGCTTGGTTGTAACACATTCCATCTTACTGTTTGATTTTTCCTATGTGTATGAAATAGCTTTGGTTTTATTAAATCATTTAATATGAACTTTTCAATTTTTCTTCACTTTTGATTTGTCTATCAAATAATGACTAGTGAATGACATAATGAGTTACTTTTGGAAGATTTGCTTGGTGGATGACACTGCAAATTGTCAAACATTTTTATTGATCTTGTCTCTTGAATAAGAGTTTGCATACTGAGGTTTGTTTTCAGTTATAAGTAGGCTAGTTTTTTTGTCTCCTGTCCTATTAATGTAATGATTTTTTTAGGTTGAGCACTACGTGGGATGAAGTTAAAGTGTATCCTATTCCTGCTGCACTTTACCTTGTCAAGAATCTACTTCAGGCAGGTTTATATTGCTTTTTGGTTATATCTTTCTTTGTTTCCAGACTTGATTAAGTCTTCTATCTCACATGTTGTTGATTGAATCTCATGGGTCTTTGCAGTATTACATTTTTGCCTATGTAGATGCTCCTGGATATCAGATACTGAAGAACTTGAATATTATCAGCACTGGCATATTGTATCAAATTATTCTCAAAAGGAAGTAAGTCTTTTCACTAATTAAGGATATGAAGTTGAACTTATGGTGCAAATTTTGATGAACAGACATCTTGTTGTCTGGGTAAATACATAAAAACAACAGACAACAAAAAAGCCCCAGAATATTTTCTTGTTGCGAATACTCCATTTGGCCCAAATTAATTTGAGTTTGTCTTCTCTTAGCATAAAAAGCTCCAACTTCAATGTACTCTAATGCTGCTTTAGATAATTATGTGTGTGCCTATATATACATATGAGTAATTTCATATATATGCTCCCTCTGTTTCACACTGAATTGGGGGTTCCTTTTTATAACGTAAGGTTACTTTCATTAATAAAGTACCACAGAGGTACTACAAAATACAATCAAAGCACTACTGCATTGATGCTATAGTTTTATCTCCAATAGGTCCAAAAATCTAAGTAGTATGATAAGCTTCCAATCATGCAATTACTACACCAAAAATACAAGTCTTATAAACATCTATTTATAACAAAGAAATATGAAGTCTTTGGCCTTCAAAGCATCTCTTATTTCTTTGTAATCAGATGTCTCACATAATGCATAATGGAAAACGAGGAGTAGTTTTCCTGTTCTGCTTCAATCCCTTGTTTACTCTTTGATTCTGCCAGCATTCCAGTAAGTTTCTAACACTCAGCATTCAAATAAGCTTCCAGCATTCCATTAGCAAGGTGTTATGTGTTTTACTTTAGTGATCAAAGATAGAATGTAGTCCATTCGCCGTAAGGAAGTTTGTCCACCTCTTATTTTGTTTGTGTTCAGATACTTAAAAAAAGAAGATGTTGTTTGTGCTGAGATACTTAAACAGTTCAGTTTTATGAAAGAGGGTGAGGAGGGAGGAAGAGAGGTTAAGAGGATGGTGATGCATTTTAGGAAGCATTTTTAGCTTTTCAGGCTTTGGGTCCTAAATATATAGGAGGAAATCGAATGCTGGGAAGCAGCTGCAGCCTGCATGGTAAGATTAAAAGATACCATGTTGCAGTGGGAAAAAGAAATGAGCTGCAAGAGGGAGGAACCACAGCTAAGTCCCAGATACTTGGACAGCCTATTGTGGTGAAAAATAGAAGTTTGACAACGCCCCATGTAGGAGAGTAAAAAGTTTTCTATGCTTCCATATATATGGTGTATGTCTCTTTCCTTAAAGATGAGATCAGGTGTGCTATCTATCTCCTTAGTTTCACTTTGATTTGTCAAGGAATGAGCAGTTAACACTTAACACTCAGTAAAGCCTATGCCAGTTTGCTCCGCCATATATCATGGAGGTTAGTTGATTGGCAGCCCCTGTAATATACAAGGAGCTGGGAGTGTATCTATCTATTCTGGAAACCTTGTACTGCAAGGTTGTCCTGCACTATTTTCTGATTCGGTGGATATGAACGGAAAAGCTTGACCTTTTTATGAAGTTTGAATTTTATTCAAGTGATAGGAGAAACCACGTTCAAGTACACAAAAATAGAAAATCTTAAAATTTTCTATGAAATGCATTGATCATCAAGAATATTGTATGGATGCCAAAAAATGTAAAAAAAGAAAAGAAAAGAAAAAGGTTCCACTAAAGGTCATCTTCAAGGGAAAAGCTTTTCTTATTAAAAAGAAATTCTAATTGACAGATATGACTATAGGAAGCTAGTAACCTCAAGGTGAATAATATAGTCAGGTTTGCTACGTTTATTTTGTCATCTTTCTGGATAATATTATAAGAATGTGTTCCTACTTGTTTACCTATTTTGATGTTCTATATTTTGTCACACTCAAAGCAACATTCACTTTCAGGTTAACTGAAATTCAGTGGGCTGCTTTCATTCTACTTTGTGCTGGGTGCACCACTGCACAGCTTAATCCTAGGTGAGGTTATAGCAGTTTCCGCATCTCATCTCTAGAACTGTTTATATAGATGAATATCTTGTTATATATTTTTTGTGTTTCAGCCTGGATGGTAAAAGATGGCAATCATGATTTTACTGCTTATATTCTGTTGATTTTATATGAATAGAGAAATGAACAATGGATTTCTCTAATGTAATGATGCTTTCTGTACAGTTCTGATCATGTTCTTCAGGCTCCTTTACAAGGTTGGGTTATGGCTATTGTAAGTTGCAGATATTCCCATTACTATATAACATTAAGGTTAAAACTATTGCTTCTAATGGTTTTATACCTCTTCGTTTGATTTCAGGTAATGGCCCTTTTGAGTGGTTTTGCAGGAGTTTACACAGAGGTACATCTTTTCAGATATGTTCTGTTAGATAAGTAGTCCAAAGATATGCACTTTAGATGACCTCAGAACTGCTTCTCACTGCATTTTGCTTTACTAGAGTTGAGCCTGGTGATTTACGTGTTTAATTACCATCTCAGGCTTCATCAGCAACCGAAAAATGCTCGGCATAACGTTAAAGTAAACTAGACTCAGATACCATGTGCATAAGTTTTCTTTTATCTTTGCAGGCTATAATTAAGAAGAGACCGTCAAGAAATATTAATGTTCAGAACTTCTGGTTGTATGTCTTTGGAATGATCTTCAATGCTTTTGCAATAATGACTCAAGATTTTGATGCAGTCATGAACGAGTAAGTTGATAGCATTCCTTCCTTTCATTTTACAATGTAAATATTTGCATTGTGCGCCTCTTTTTCTCTAAAATAGAACACTTGTAATATGCTATGACCTCAGGTTTTTTGAGCTAGCTTAGTAAATTAATTGTACATTGGAATAGAGAATCATTCCAATATCTTGTGATTGAAGTTTAGTTGTAGTTTAACTTATGGGAATATTATCTCAGGCATACCTTGTTTTTTCTCAGTACTCTTTCCATTTCTAAAGGTTCTTTTGGAGCTTTCCTATCTGTCCATTATATTTTATCGTGATTTTTAGTTCCAATCATTATTGTATGATGCTTCATTCACAAATAAACATTAGGTTAAGCACATCACAGTTTCAGTGACCACAGACAATAACTCTTCTTGAAAGGACATTACCTCATCAGATTGAGCTTCATGTTTTGTTATCTATGTAAAGTTTTACAATTTGACCTTATCTTCTGCAGTGGATTCTTCCATGGATATTCACTGATTACGGTTCTCATGATTCTCAACCACGCACTAAGGTTTGATTTCCTCTAAATCTTCATAGTGGTATTTTATACATATCAAGATTATGGATACATTTCAAGATTATGGATACAGTGGAGAGTACTACTTTTCTTGTGCTAGCTATTTCATGTTCCTGAGGCATAAACGTACTCGAAAATTTCTGTGCTTTGCAGTTGCTTAGTTTAGTGTTTAAGTTGTTCTCTTGATAAGCATTAAGTTAATGGAACTATTTTGTATTGGCTGTGTTCATTGACATAAACAATACTCTAGGGAAAAGACAGTTCCACTAGGTGCAAGCTCTGCCATGTTGCATTTTTTCCTAAATTGTTTGTTTGTCGTATTTGCTCAATGTGCTGTTTTTTTTAATTTTTTATACAATGTACACTCACCCCTTATTGTGTTCATTTGCAAACCTAATTAACCATTCAAAATGATTTGTATATACACTGAAACTGGGTTATTTAGATAGAGTAACTTTGGGTGTAAGTTTCATTTCTGCTGCATTATTCCTTTTTTTCCTTTTGCCTGTGGTTTTTTGGTTTAACATTCTGTCATTCATCTGTTTTAAATTGGATTGATTGCATCATCACTCATCAGTGGCCTTTCAATTGTTTACTGACCAAGACTTCTCTCTGCAGTGGTATTGCAGTATCAATGGTGATGAAGTATGCTGACAATATTGTGAAGGTAGGGTTGACTCTGGTTGTGCATCTGCTTTAGTTTGTGTTAATTGGATTCATTAGTCTAGTGCCAATTATCCACGTCTGAGATCACCGTAGAATATCTATGTTGTGAGCACAATGCCTGACATGCTTTATCTTTTCCTTGGCTATGTTACTTTTCTAATTGAAGAGTAAAGCAATGATGGTAAACTGGACTAGAGATTCCACTCAAGAAATGATGTATACTAAGCTGCTAACTTATTGCTTGAAATGTAATTACAGAGAAAACAGACATTCCAAAATATTTGAGCTATCGGCTGAAAATTAGGACAATGGTTAGGCGACTATTTTGGAGTGCTAAAACATTGATGGATCAGGCATGAAGTTTAGCTACCATTTAAAGAGTCTCTTAGATCCCTCTTATGAAGCTCTAGGATGCACTCATATCCACGTCCTTAGAGTATAGAAATGATTGTGGTGCAGTTGACAATGAGATTTCCTCTTCCTTTTCTTTTGCTTTAAGTTTGCGTGCTTTTGAGGAGATATAGTCCTGTAAAGAAGGGACGAGAATTTTGTCTCTCGCACACACAATCTGCCTATGAACAAGCTGACAAGATATCATTTTAATATAGCTTGTAATTGTTTGCAGGTCTATTCAACTTCAGTTGCAATGCTACTGACTGCAGTTGTTTCTGTATTTCTGTTTGGGTTTCACCTTTCCCTTGCCTTTTTCCTTGGTTCCACGTAAGTGTGAAAATTTGTTTTACCGCTATGTTTTTTTCATCTTTGGGGAAAATTCCACAAATTTGACAAGGCATATAACTGAATAGGAATTTTATACTTCTTTGCAGCGTTGTTTCTGTAGCGATATATTTACACTCGACCAGCAAAGCCCGAAGATAACAACCACCTTCACCTTCTGAGCTCTCTTGGTGATACCCAATAGTCATCCTACTCCAAGCTCAGTTCGATTTTCTTTCTTGCCAAAAGTGTTAGCAGATAACTATTTATCCTACCGCAGCTTAAAAGTTGGCCTCGTATTTATCCTTGGAGTGGAGTTGGCATTTGAATTTCGGACTGAAGGATACTTGTGATCGACTACTAGATGATCTCCTCATTTCTGTCAATTCTGAATTCAAATAGCAGCGTTTATTGCCCCAGCAAAGGTATTAGGTATGTGAATTAGATGATATTATACAGTGCAACAAGTCCCGGGACAGCAGAATACTTCACTTTGTACCACAATACATTTGACGTGGTGCATAATTTCATGAACATTTTTTCGCTCTTTCAAATGTAATTACTAGTAGTATTATTGTAATAGCAATTTGATCAATATGTGCTTGTATGGTGTGTACTTCGATGTTTAGCACTTGTTCTAGTATTAATTTTACGGTAGTTATTTGTGTCCTGGTTCATACTTGTGAAGTTTTGTATTTCCTTGAGCCGAGGGTTTATCAAAAATACTCTCTACCTCTCAAGTTTGGGATAAGGTACGCGTACACTCTACCCTCCCGAACATTGGATATATTGTTGTTGTCACTTGTGAAATTTGTGACGTCATAGCTTGGAAATGTTCTTGAATCTGTCTATATTTCTTTTATAATTGAGAAATCTTCGAGGGTGATATAACAACATTGTTCTCCAATAGATTTTGAATTTGTGTGAACTTAACCACACATCATTTGTTAAGCAGCGATCTGCCAACTACAGTCAACTATTCTCCTTCACCAATTAGAAGGATCGAGGTTAGAAAAAACACTTGAGATTTACGAATTCTTCTCTAATCCACCGAGTTAGTCATTATGTCTATCAAAAACAACCTTTCTACCCCACAAAAGTCAGTGGATTAAAGCGTTTACACTGAATATGTTGTTATTAAGTCAAAAAGAAAAACTAATCCTTTATTCAATGTGCAAGTATACTTTTCATCTGTACAATGTACATGGCAAGAAAAATAAATTTAAAAAAATCACACCTTAAGAATCTATGCAGAATTCTTCATCCCCACCCCCTCCCCGTGCGCCATTTCTTCGAGAGACTATTTCCATGTCTTGAACTCATGATCTGAATTTCCGTAAGAGACTTTTCATAGCTCGACCTCATGATGTTTTCGCAGCTCAAACCCATGATTTGGTCACATGCCTGCAAGAAACTGTTTCCATAGCTCGAACTCATGATCAGCTCACATGATACCAACTTTACAAGTAGGACCAAAAAAAAAGTAAAAGAAATCCCAGACCCCCACCCCACCCCACCTAAGGAATTAAAAAGCATACAAATGAAAAACTGTGTGCTCTGTTTTTACAAGTTTTAGCAATGAAGATCATCTTTAACAAAACCAGACTATCTCCATCCCGTTCTTCACAAAATCTATACACACTTTAAAAATCTTGAAAAGTCAAAGTCAAAAAAACACGCAGAATCTTGAATCCATAAACTTAAAATCCTGAATCCGTCTCTGCTCCTCTCACGGAGACGTAGAAGATCCAAAACTATTCCCTCTACAATACCTTAACTCCAATGAAATCTGTCTTTCAAGTTTCAATTGATTATAGAAATTAGCAATAAACATTTCAGCCCTTTTATCAATATCATCTTCTGATGATGGATAACTCATAGTTCTTTGAAGTCCTTTAAATGAACCATTATTTGCATTTTTAGCCAAATCTTGATCATCATTTTCATCAATACATATTACATTCAATCCAGTTGGCTGTTTTTGCAAAATCTTCTCATTGAAACTCAATTGATGCAAACTTTTTCTTGATGATCCAATCAAATATGTTGCTAATTTCCATTTGTTGATATCAAAATTTAGTAAAAAAGTAATCTTTTTTACTGCCCTTTTTAGTTTTCCTAATAAAGACCAATTCTCTATCCCCATTTTTGTTGTTTTTTGACTCGAGAAATAAAGCACTGAATTAACAAACTATGAAATGTCGAAAAATGAAAGAAGGGTAATTTGTTCTTGAACAGAGTTGGTCTGCTAATAAGAAAATGAAGTCTTTTTAAATCGCGATAGATCTGAGTGGGAGCGAAAAAAGAATATGATTATAGTGAATATATAGTCAAGAAAAAAAAGAAAGATATTTCTATTTTTTGAAGAAGAATTGAAGAAAAATGGATAATTGGTTTTTTTCTTTTTTGAGATTGTGTTGGTTGTTTGAGAGTTTTTTTTTTCTTTGGGTGGGTGGGGTTTCTTAGGTTATATATAGTGAGAATATGTGGACTAAGTCATATTATTGAGGCACTATTCAAATTTTGTCCTTGTTAGTCATTATAAAAAGAATTAATTAGTTAATTACTTTTAAGATTTTTTTTAAAAAAAAAATTATGAAAATTTTCTTGGACTTAAAACACCCTTAAGTTGAGTGGCAAAGATGGCGACAAGAGAGATTGAAATTCACATGCAAGTCATGACAAATCGATATAACTTCATACTGTATTCAACATATTTGATATCATGGTCGATTGCTCATAAACTTGATCGAACCAATATAATTCCAAAGCGTGCTACGACACAAGGAAGCATGTGACTCGCAAGTCATGATAAATATGTATGACTTCTTATTATATATAACGACTAATTATCTTGTTGGATTAATTACAGATCATATCAAATCATCACAAATTCTTCTATCGGAATTCGAGCTTGCAATATGTCGCCTTTTTATTGCAATTGCAAGGGTAGATATGTCATTTATCTTTGCTCGTAAACCTAAATTCACTAATTTTAATTTCTGAATCCGTCTCCGTAACATGAAATGCATGGGGTGGCTATGGAGAAAGTTGGTAGGGTTAAGGAAAATAGATAAATACGTGGAGAAAAAGACAACCGCGTTATAAAATATGACAGCTACACACGTAAGCTAAAGGCTCTAAAATTCAAGCAAAGAGACTTTTTTTGGTCAATGATTTTTTCTTTTATTTTTTTGAATAATTATTCTTTCTTGGAAATTTTGTATAATTTTTTTGTTTTTGTATGATGTTATTAAGGTTTAATTGGTTATTTCGAGGATGATTCTTGATTCAAATTTTGTGTATAAAAAAATGATGTCAAATGTGTTTGTAATACTAATCTAAATTAATCGAGTGTCAGATATATTAGATTGAAACTAAAAAAAGATTGGTTACATTGTAGAATATTTCGGATTAATTAATAAAAGTTTGATTAGTTTATGATAAGGATTAAGGATAGAGTCATAGGCAAATGCTTAATGATTTACCCAACTAAGCATTTCTTTGTCTGGTTGGTTAAGACCAAGTCTATTTTTTGTTATTTCTTTTAAAAAATTGTTGTTTTAAGTTTTTTTTTGGGGGAGATTTTAATGGTATTTCAGAAAATATTGTTGAGAATAAGAATGTGCTACATTATTGATTGAGTTTAATATATATATATACTGTTAGAGTAATAATAAATTAAAATTTATTATTATGTCATTAACGAATATTTTATCGGTAAATCTTCTTAAAATTAATATTTATAATTTTAAAAACAAGACATGATACTTGTGTCAACAAATACAAATAATCTGTGATATCAACACTAACCACAAATCCAATAAGGTTTGATCATAGTCATATCAATTCAATAAATATATAATATGTGTTTTTACAAATATGATCATCACTAAATTATGGTTAACTAATTTAACACTTCACTATGGTATATCAATATAATTTGGTATAAATATTCGATGTAAGTAAATTTTATCAGCTTATTTCTAATATGTTTGTTTCATTTCCTTATCGATTAATTAACATAAATTATTAATGTCATTGATGACAATGTAACTTATATTGTTAATAAAATATACAACTTTCATTTTTGACAACAATTTAATAACTAATTAATGATACAAAGTTTAACTATATTGCTACCCATTTGGGGAGAATGTATATTTAATTAATTGCCGGCTAACTAGAGTAGTAGGTATGATTAAACAAAAATAAAGGAAAAGTTCAAGAAGAAAATAAAAAGACTTTATATTATACTATACTTTATTGTATTTTTATATGCAACAAGTTATTAAAATATATATATTAGGCTTTTAATTTTTCTTAGCTATCTTGAGTTCTACAATAATATGATTCTTTTTAGTAGCTTTTTTAATTCATTTGACCTATCAATAAGAGTATCATGATAATTTTTGTTCCAAATTATATGACACTCTTTTTTATTATATATTTTTAACTTATTTGACATATTCTATGTCTCTGACAAAACTCGTATAATTTTATACCTTGAAAATTTGTTAAATCATTCAAAATTTAGATTATCGTATTTGTTTTCTCTATCAAACTAACGTTTAACAATATTTTAAGTGTTTATTTATTTTTTCGATCATAACCTGTATAATATACAAGTTGAAATAAATATCTTAAACTCCCTTTCCAAATTAAATATAGTTATTTAAATAGCACATGTAATATTCTTCTTTTTTCCCACAAGTGCCTTGTTATGAAATAAATCTTTTTTTTATTTTTCGGATCTCTAGTGAGTTATAGATAAATTTTGAAAATATCAAATCTACTATGATTCTATCATTCATGACACAAAATAGATTGAAACGCATCTACAAGAATTAGATGTTTACAATTATTATTTTTAAGTCAAAGAGTTCAATTTTGACTAGTGGGGCATGAACTAATAAAACATATTCCTAATTATGATCTTTTTGGTCAATTTGAGGGGCAATAATAAGCAAATTTACTCAATTTTTTATTTTTTTTAATATTTGGATTATGCTTCAAATTCTGAGTATTCAAAGCTATTAAAAAAGGCTGCACAATGGATTGAAAAGCATGTAGAATAATGGGTCAATTTTCTAATACTTGGAAGCCAAGTCTCCATTTTTGCCATTTTATGTTATCATTAATTATATTAAGTAAATTGTTTAATTAAAACAAATACAATTTTTTTTTACTAAAGCTATAGATTCTGCCGAATCCGTTAGCTCCACCTTTGATAAAAAATAAATACCGCATTTAATGTTTATACCAAAATATATTTTAATTTATCATATAAATAAATATTAAATCGAGAAGAGAATATATATTGATTAAACTATGATTGTATGATGGATTATCTAAAGAGGTATATTATGTATCCTTATTCCCGCTTCAAAGAAGCATCTTTGCATAAATCAATATTGATTTCTCAATCAGTTGACTTTCGATTTTGTAGACTCAAACAGAAGAACTCCGTAACGACAGAAAGCGTAGATTAAATTGATGTAAATATCAAATATGAATAAATTTCATCTCCAACTCAAATTTTTGAGGCAAATTAGTAATATAATCAATTTAACTACACTTAATTTTGAGCTACAATTTTCCTCTTTTTGTTTCTTCACTGCATTAATAATTCTTTATTCTAAAAAGAAAGTCATAATAAAGATATTTCCTACGAA